AGCATGCAGCAGCAGTTGTCGAGGACAAGATGTATATACATGGTGGAAATCACAATGGTCATTACCTAAGTGATCTTCATGTAAGTAATTCATTTACCTTTTAAACATGCAATATACATGCTTATGCAATTCCACAATGAATTATTTTTGTAACATCCTACATTATATTCCTTATACAATTCAGTTTAATGTATGGTTTTGGACATGAAAAGAAATTTTCAAATGCATTATTGTTCGTAGACTCATGTATCAGTATATTTTTACTTGACAGATTTCATGTCTCTAACGGAAGCCGTAAAGTTTGATGCAGGTTTTAGATTTGAGAAGTTGTACATGGTCAAAGGTTGAAGATAAGATTGGATCTAAGTCAGTGGAACCGCCATCTACTATAAATATAACCCCTTGTGCTGGTCATTCATTGGTTAGTAGAGAAATGACTTTCTTTTTTTATTTTCCTTTGATTTCTCAAAAACAGTGATCTCTAAGAAATTTTTCACTTTTCTTAGAATATGTTGGACCAAATTTATTGTATTTATGCTTAACTCTCTGTCTCTTCTACTTTTCCCATAGATGCTTCTGGAGAACAAGTTTCTTTAAATTTCTGGCCGTAGAATCTGTTTGAGTGCACATTTCATTAGAATCTGTTTGCTAAAAGTTATTGTATTCATACTGATTGCCTTTCTTCTGTTATTTTATTTAATTCTCTCTCTTCCTTCTGTTTTTCCCTGTAGGTACCTTGGGAGAACAAGCTTCTTTCAATTGCTGGTCATACAAAGGATCCTTCTGAAACTATCCAGGATACTTGTTCTTTCCCCTTATAACAATTTAAAATTCTGAGTATTTATTTTTCTCCTATCTTGTTTTCTTATTCTATTGTTCTGTATTTTTATGGCAGTGAAGAATTTTGATCTGCAAAGTGGCATGTGGTCAATGTTGAAAACTTATGTAAAAGCACCGGTATTTATCTTATCTTCTGGTTAATCATCTCTCTCTCCCCTGTACCGATTAGAAAAAGATTATAGCAGTATATTGAGAAACTTTAGCAGGTTCATGATTGTTGTAGTATTCACAAAGAATTAGACCAGCCTTTGGATTTTTTATGCCTCTGAAATGGTGTGGAATTAACCTTTCTTACTCATTTGAATACGTTATTTAAGAAACTGAAAACTAAATAATAGAATGTTGATTGAAAGTCAATGTTTAGCTGAAAGTTTATAAACATATTGGTATGCTAGAACAAAGGCTGGAGGTAAACCTTGTGAAGCAAAAATGTCGATTGCATATCTGTGCTTATATAGTTTTCTGGCCCTTTATTTTCCTAATGGTAAAATTCTTTGATTTTTTTTCTGAAAAGTTATTTCCTAATAGTTATAAGTTTTTCTCCCTAATTTGAGTGTCTTGCAGTTTGCTCGTGGCGGTCAATCTGTGACCCTCTTTGGAACAACCTTAATAATATTTGGTGGACAGGATGCAAAGCGAACACACCTGAATGATCTACATATATTGGACCTAGAAACCTGACCTGGGATGAAATTGATGCTGTGTAAGTATATTTTTGGCAATTTTGGTCCCGCAACACTCCACACATGTTACTGGATGTCTTCGTTCTTTTGTTAAAGATATGCTACCGGTACTTCTATAGCCTTTATCAGGGAGATTGTAAATGAATTTATATTTGCCACCTTAAAAATATAAAAAGCTGGCTTGAACTAGGTTTGCTGCAAAGCACAAGCAGCATTGGTCCATAATTTTGACATGATAGGTTGCACTATCATAACAGCTATCTGATGTTTCAATTTCTATCTTTTTCCTAAGACTAGCTTGCCATCAAAATTGAATTCACAATTACATCAGCTTCATTTCAGTAATGAACTTAATATTTAAGTTAACAAAAATGCTAGGTAAAACTGGTATAGGATAGTGATCCAAAATTACTTCACATGCTTGAATTCTTTGTTTTTGGGTACACTGACATTGGGCATGCAGCATACTTGTATCCAAATTCCGCTTTTCTAGTACTATATCTGAGCTTCGCTTCTATGCGACTTATATGTATGTAATCCAACCTGTCTATAAACAGACATTTATGAACTAAAATTCAGCATGATACAATCCTTGTAGTATTTCTATTTCGAGTAATCCCTTTTACCCAATTATTTTATAGATTGGACAGTCATATTCCACAATAGCTCTTAATATTTGTTTATTCTCATCATCATGCAGGGGGGTACCTCCCTCACTGCGGTCTGGACATGCTGCTGCATTACGTGCAGAGCGTTATCTTCTTATATTTGGTGGGGGTTCACATGCTACTTGCTTCAATGACTTGCATGTCCTTGATTTGCAAACTGTAAGATAATTACTCTCTCATTTTTTGCATGTGCTTTTGAGAAATTAGTATATTTATCTTCATGTATTTGGGTTTATAGATGGAATGGTCAAGACCCACACAAGGTAAGATACCCGTTCCTAGGGCTGGTCATGCAGGTGTGACTGTTGGGGAGAACCAGTTTATTGTTGGTGGTGGAGACAATAAAAGTGGTAAATGTCTCACTTCGAAATCAATTAGAAGATTACAATTGTGAATTGTTCCTTGGATGACTTCCCCACTATATGCTTAGTTTAGAGTTAATATAGTTATACTGTCAAGTGTCCTCCTTTAATATGAAGAAAAGAGAACACTTTGGTGGGATCTGTTGATTGCGTGAAAAAGCTTACTTTCAATTACTGCTCCTTGGTCTTCATTGACTATCCTACTCTCTTCTTCCAGGGGCATCAGAAACTGTTGTGCTCAACATGTCAACCTTAGCCTGGTCAGTTGTGACATCAGTTGAAGGACATGTTCCTCTTGCTAGTGAGGTAATTGACATTTTACAAATGCTTGTTCCCTGTGAATTGTTACATCATACATGTGGCATGTGGAAATTTTTTGTTTGTATTATGTATCATGTGTATTGGTTTAATTGTGCTGGTAATTTCACAATTTGGATCAACAAGGAATGCTAGAGTAATGCCTATAAATATAGTAGACTTTCTACATTTGTTGTTTTGCTTTTCTGTGATTATTATGGTCATTTGATGGATTTCTTTAGTGCTTGTTCATCATTTTTATTCTCGTCAATTAATTTCATTGGCTTTTAGACTCAAAAAACCTGTTTGTAGAGTAATGTAATAGTTTATCAGGTCGAAAGAAACTTCTTTTCTCACTTCAGTTATATGCACGTGTGTTAACATTGAACGATTTATATATTTGTGGTCTATTGGTCTTTATAAATAGGAGATAACTTATGGTGTCACAGATTGAAGATATAAAGTTTTTATCTAATTGTCTTGATTGTAGGGTTTAAGTCTGGTTGTAGGCTCACTGAATGGGGAAGATATACTTATATCTTTTGGAGGATATAATGGGCGCTACAACAGTGAGGTATAGACGGTTTTAACCTCTTTTTATATCACATGGCCTTTTGGTTACTGTATGGTAATTTATGGTTGGCCATCTGGTTAATGTTCTTAAGCCAAGTCACAAGTCAACCTTGCAATCGAAGATAATGGAGGGTCCTGCTCCTGATAGTGTCTCTACCGTGCATTATGCAACAAATCTTACCAAAGATTTGGAATCCGAGTTCGAAGTTGGTCAAGAAGGAAAGTACGAGAAATTGCTATGGATAGTTTTGAGCCCATGGTATGTAATGTTTTGATAGTAAATATCAGTTCCATTTAAGCTTCATTGGATATCTCTGGTTGAATTCTTCTGATAAAAAGTGCATGCTTGCTCCGAGTGTCTTGAGTGCCTTTGTTTCATATATCTTATATCGTGATTCCAGTCTACATCATAACATTCTAATTTTTTTTCTTATTTTATTCTCTTCTATATACACCATTTTTTTTATCGTTCCTTATTTTAAGAATTAAAGAGTTTTGAAGTTTTAAGGCGTTCAGATTGTCATTTCCTGTATCATCAGTTTTGTTTCGATAATTATATGCAGAAATTCAAAGGTGAGGGGGCTAGTGAGCACATTCTAGCAATGCTCAAGGCGGAGAAGGAAGAACTGGAATCATCACTCCACAATGAGCAATTTTTGTCTGTCCGGCTAAGGCAAGAACTAGCAGACGCCAAGGCTCAAACGGACCTGTACAAGGTATTTTTTTCAGATGTATAATGGCGGGTCATGTAGTTCTTTGACTACAGTGATGTTTATTAGCTTAACAATTTTACTCTCTAAATTCCATTTACATCTTAGGAGTTCCAATCCTTACGTGGTCAACTTGCCTCCGAGCAGACAAGATGTTTCAAATTAGAGGTATATGAGAACAATGGTATATTTATTTGATCTGTTTTCTCCTTGAATGGGCATCAAACTCTGATTTTCTTTAATACAACTAGCTGTTTGTATAAATTTATTTGGCAGATAGGCTACCATTGTTTGCATTTCTCTTATTGTCGTCTAATACTCTTGAATCAACAGGTTGATGTTGCACAACTGCGACAGAAGGTTCAGACAATGGAAACACTACAAAGGGAACTTGAACTCCTGCAGCGAAAAAAAATCACATCTGAACAAGCTGCCTTAAATTCAAAGCAGCGGCGGGGCTCAGGTGGTCTATGGGGCTGGCTTGCAGGAAGCTCTCCAGAAAATGAGGACTAGGCTGAAAAGCTAATTACATTAGTCATTCCTGGTGCAATGTTCTATCCACCATGGAAATAGGCTAAAAAACAGCAGGAACGTTGGCGGATCTCAAATCGTCCCCCAAATCATTCTTTTAATGGGAAACATTGCATTGGGTACAATTTTTTCATCAAATTTTTGGTAACATATACGTCCTTTTTTCTACTTATCCCGGTTCTTTTCATGATCGAAATAAGATGTCTAGTTAGTTTAAGTGAATACCTTGAGAGGTTTTTGACTGAGTACATGTCTTGATAGATATTTGTTTCAGTTCTTATTTTCTAAAGTCTAACTTATAAACGATATTCAAACTTTCATAATGCAAAGAACAAGGAAACAAAGAGGCAAATACATTAGGTTCAATGCATAATCCTTAAAAACACAAGCTAGAATTTAATTCACTTCCAAAGTCAAGACCATTTTAGTACTAAAAGGGAAATACCACTACTGCTGTCGGACTTCAGCTTTCTTCTTCTGCCAGAGTCTGTCAAGCGCACTGTCCGCATCACCCTGCAACCATGCACAAATCAATCGGAAGCCGACTTAAGACACAACTCAACATCGTCACAAAGAACACAGATTGGTATAGAATCCAACTCCTCTATCATCCATCAGTTTGAAAAATCCAACAACTGCAACATATGCCCTTCGCCTAGTCGGACTTGATTACAAGGATATGATCTTTTAAACATATATACTTGAGAACTTCCAAAATATCCAATAAACAACACCTAAAGCGTCACAGAAATAATGCAAATCAAGTAACATAACAAAAAAAAATCAGCGAGTACAGATCCAACACAAACCTGGGCACGGACAAAGCCACAAAGAGCAAAAGTGGAGAAGGTTCCAGTGTATCTGCCAAGCTCATCCAAATGTCCAACATTAATCTGAACAGAGGCATGATCCTTCGAGGTGATCAACCGATTAGTGGCCGAACTGCAACGACAAGAACAGCATACATATAAGCTTCCAACAAAAACAAGGGTGACGGTCAGAATAAATACCATTTTCTGGGGATGTAAAGATCCATGTTTTGACCCTCTTCGTTCTGCATCTTTGCGAATTGCTTCAAGAATACTAAACGCTCAAATCACCTAATTCAGCACCGATTTATATTCATTAAGCAACAATAAAGAAAAACTAAAACAATTTCAACTTCAATACCCTGTAAACAAATGACTAATTCGAAAACCAGAAATGATCAAACAAGCATTTTACAGAGAACCATAAATCCAAGTTCAACTATTGCTGCTTAGGATAACATTAACGATTATGCTCATATTAACATTTTAAGAGAAAAAAACAAACGTATGCTTATCAGAAAATCCAGATAACATATAATTTATACAGGTTTAGAACTATGAAGCATGAATAATGAAACCCATAAAGAGAGAGAGAGGCTTACAAGATGAGAGAGAGAGAGGCTGCTGCTATCGCTGCTGCAAGTGAGGTTTTAGGTTCCTTGTTTGCTAAATTTATATGCGAAGAAGAACGAACCCTAATTTCTTCTCAGATTTACCAATAGAAATAGATGTAGTTTACTCCCCATCTGAGCCCGCTTTGTTCATGAAATAGGGTCAATTCTATTCAGGCCACGGCAATTTTGGCCCATTACGGCAGCCCAGAAAAAATTTAGGGAATTAAGGCAGTTTGACTTTTAATTTAGAATCTACGACATTTGTTACAGTGAAAGACTGAGTTACAATGCTCGATCACAAAATTTTAGATCTATTGATTTACAAAATTTAGAACTGTCAGCTCTATTTCTCTTGTCTCCCAATTTGTAGAGTGAGCGAGTCCATCAAATTTTTAATTTATTCCAGAAAGTTTTCAAAACTCTGAAAAATCGTTATTTGTTTCTTCGTCAAACTATATCCATCTTTAAATTTGTTCTTTTATCTTCTGTATTTTCTCTATCCCCAAAATATCCAGATTTTTCTTTTTTACTTAAAAGTTGTAGATCTAACTCCAAATCTTTCAACTAAAATTCCCTTTTTTTTTTTCCTGTTTTCATCTTTGTTTGATCTGTTGTGTTGTACCTTTTTGTTTCTTTTTTTTGTTTTATTCCTTCGAAAGGTTGAAATTTTCAACTCAGATTTAGCTTGTTTAGACAAACTATTTTCTTTCTACTTGTTTCGTCTACCGCTTCATTTTTTATCTGTCTCGTCTAGATCTAATTCATCACTGCTAGTTTCTGTTGCTCGTATGTTTGTCTTGGGTTCGTCAAGAGAGAATCTTGTTCGTTGGTTAAATTTCAACAATCATTGTTTCTTCATCTATTTTTCGATCTTTACTGGTCTGTAATTTCAACAACCATTTGCTGTTGCATGTTCATTATCTTTGTTGCTAACTGCATGTTCTTTTAGCCGTTATAGATCCATATCAGATTAAGGTTTCATTCTAGATCTCAACAGAGTAAAATCAATAGTATTCTATTTTCTTCCCTTTTAACACTAGGCTTTTAGCAATAATAATAACAATAGTATTATATAAATTAAAATCCTATTAAGTAACCAACTAGGCTTCTTAGTACCCCTCAATTTTCTAGCGTTTATTGTTGAATCTTCTGTCTTCTTTGGATTCCTTTTTCATAGTTTCTCATAGCTTCGGCTATAGATGATTACTTGAGGTCATGTCATTCTCCTAGATCCCATAGGGCGTATAGGGGGCGAGCTCGACAGAGTGGTGGCAAGAAGACTAGACTTAGAGTTTGTTCTTTGAATGTAGGCACATTGAATGCTAGGCTGCTAGAGATGACCGTCGTACTAAGTAATAGGAAAATAGATTTTGCATGTATTCAAGACACTAGGTGGAAAGGGGCTCACGCCAGAGAGTGTAACAGGTACAAGTTGTGGTATTCAGGCGTAGATAACACTAGAAATGAGGTGGGTATCTTGGTATCCTCTAGGCTCAAGGAAAATGTAGTTGAAGTTTGTAGATACAGTGATAGGATCATGATGATTAAGGTTATTATAGAAGCGGAAGTGGTGAATGCCCTTTCAGTGTACACCCCACACGTTGGCTTAGGAGAGGAGGAGAAACGTTGCTTCTGGGATTCGTTAGATGATGTACTTAGGAGTATTCCGGAGGACCAAAGAGTTTTCATAGGGGGAGACTTCAATGGCCATATAGGTAGAACAATCGACGGGTATGATAGTGTTCATGGGGGTTTCAATTTTGGTAGTAGGAACGAGGAGGGGCGCACGTTGCTTGAATTCTCTACTGCACACGATATGGTGATCACTAACTCCTTCTTTAATAAGAGAGATGTGAGCTTGATTACGTTTCATAGCGGGGGACATTGTACCCAAATCAACTACATCCTGGTTCGAAATCGGGATCGATGGGCTTGCATTGACTGTAAGGTATTTCCTGAAGAGGCATATGCATCATAACACAGATTGTTGGTTTTGGTGTTTCGCGTACGCCACAAGCGGAGCACTCATAGGAGGGCTAAACTAGGTAAACCTAGGATTCTTTGGAATAACTTACATGGAGCGACATCTGATGACTTTAGGAGTAAGGTTTTGTCTCATACAGGTTTTGGAACTACAAACTCAAATAATGCAGATATGTTATGGAAAAATATGGCAAAGTCCATCAGAGAGGTGGGCAAAAACACCCTTGGGTTGTCAATAGGAAAGGTCAAGGAACATAAAGAATCGTGGTGGTGGAACGACGAAGTCCAAACTAAGGTGAAGACAAAGCAAACTTGCTTCAAGGAGTTTCTACAGTGCAATGATGACGAAGAAAGATAGAGAGCTAAACAAAGATACAAGGAGGCAAAGCGAGAAGCCAAGAAAACAGTGGCTAAAGCAAAGGATAATGCATACGAGAAAATGTACAAGAGATTAGACACCAAGGAAGGACAAAACGACATCTTCAGGCTTGCAAATTCCAGGGAGAATAGGAAAAAAGATCTAGGTAGCATTAGGTTTATTAAGGACAACAATGGTGTTCTTTTAGTGAAAGATCATGATATTAAGAGGGTTTGGGGTAGTTACTTCTTCGGATTATTTAATGACGGTGCCTCTCCCTATAGAGATAGTACCGTTGATGGGTCAGCCAACCATTATACTACAGCCAAAGACTGCCCTACAAGCAGGATTGAGATTGAGGAAGTCAAAATGGCTCTTAGAAAGATGGGGAGAGACAAAGCTGTCGGTCCAGATCAAATTCCTATCACTGTGTGGTTGGCCCCAGGAGAAGATGGAGTTAAGTAGTTGACTAACATCTCTAATATTATTTTAGAGACTGCCAAGATGCCAGAGGAGTGGAGAGAGTCTACGGTGATACCAATCTATAAGAATAAATGATATCCCCAACGTTGTGGTAACTACAGAGGTATTAAACTACTCAGTCATACCATGAAGCTATGGGAAAGGGTGATAGAGGCTAGGTTGAGACAGATTACTAGGGTTACGGAAAACCAATTTGGCTTTATGCCAGGCAGGTCTACTACGGAGGCGATTCATCTACTTCGATGACTTATGGAGAAATATAGGGAAAAAAATTAGAGATCTTCACATGGCGTTCATTGACCTTGAGAATACGTATGACAACGTTCCCCGCGATACGATCTGGAAGACCTTGGAAACGAGACGGATCCCAATTGTTTATATCAGAGCGATTCATGATATGTACTGTAGATCTACTACATACGTCAGGACTATAGTTGGTGACAACGAGGCTTTCTTGGTGGAAATCGGACTCCACCAGGGGTCGGCTCTTAGCCCTTACATCTTCTCCTTGATTATGGACGACATCTATTGTGCGACACCAGACGGTGTTCCATGGTGTATGCTTTTCGCTGACGACATTGTCCTAGTTGCTGAAACAAAATCTAAGCTGAATAGTATACTGTCTACCTGGAAGACTACTTTGGAAGAAAAAGGTCTAAGGATCAATATTGAAAAGACAAAGTATTTATGTTCAAACTTCAGTGGGAACCAAAACGATGAAGATGTAGAAGTATGCATCGAAGGACACGTTCTCCCTTCAAAGGATTGTTTCAAGTACCTGGGGTCTATGATACATAAAGATGGGGGTGTAGATGATGATGTTACACACCATATAAAGGTGGGATGGTTAAAGTGGAGGGCTGCAACTGGAGTTTTGTGTGACAAGAAGATGCCTCTAAAACTTAAGGGAAAATTTTATAGAATGGCAATAATACCATCGCTATTGTATGGATCCGAATATTGGGCAATCAAGAAGGATCACGTAAGGAGGATGGAGGCCGCAGAAATGAGAATGCTTCGATGGGCATGTGGTAGGACTCTGTGGGACATGACACCAAACTCTGCAATTACGATGTCTATGGGGGTGGTGCCTGTATCCGAAAAATTGAGGGAGGGAAGACTACGGTGGTTTGGGCATGTCCTTAGGCGACAATTGTCAGATGCAGTCAGGAGGGTAGAATCGATTACAGTTGACGATACCAGAAGAAGAGGACGACCAAGGAGGAAGTGGGTAGACTGCTTGAGATCTGATTTGAAGGATTTAGCCCTTACCAAGGACATGACCTCTGATAGGAAAGTATGAAGACTTAAGATCAGGGTAGCCGAGTAGTGTGGGTCACAGCCATAGGGTGTAGCATCTTTGTCTTCCTTTTAATGACTTTGTAGTTAATTTCTAGGACTTATACTTTTTATACGTTTTTGTCATTGGAATTTATGAAGGCTTATAACTAGGATAGCGGAGTAGTGTTGCCTTAGTTTAGGTTTTAACCCATTTGACCTTATTCCTTCTCGTAGCTTGCTATCGCTGACTTCTGTGTATCCTTCTAACGTTTTCTGTCTATAAGCAGAGATTTTTACACAGGGATTTATTTGCAGGGATTACTTCCCATTACAGACGCGCATATGAAGACGACATATGAAAACTGTTCAACTATATATTTATTGATTTATTTATACATGTATTTTATTTTATCTTTATTTTTATTTTCTCACTGCCGGAGGTCTTCCAGGGAAGCTGCTCTCAACCTGGCGTTGGAGGCAGCCTACTATCCCCACCTCCCCCTTACCCCATTGCATATGGTAATATGGTTTTGTTGTTGTTGTTGACATTTGTTACAGTGCATGAACGAGTTTCAATAAAAATATATATTTTTAAAATTTTACCTCTGATATGATAAAAATTAATAAAAATTATATTTTACTAGAACTAGTCACTTTAAGATGACAAATTTAAATAAAAAAAATATTATTTAGGTGAACTCGTCACTTCAACATGAGGAATTTGTTAAACACTATAGCAAATTTGGTAGATTCCAAATTGAAAGTCCATATCTCCTAAAACCTTAATTTATTTTTCTAAGTGATGTATTGGGTCAATTTCGCATGCAACCCACTGTTTGCAAGGTCGAATGTCAAAAACCCAAATCATATTCTTTTGCTTTATAATTAAATCTAAATTTTTATATTAGATTGAATCTTTTATTCCAACATAAAAGTGTATTTTAAAAAATAATTATGCATGATCCAAGTGACTTTAATG